GCAAACAATATATCAAAAAATATAAAACAAACCTGCCGAAAATTTGAAATAGAAAGAAATTACTGAGCAACTCTAGGAAGACCACAATTCCGAGAATATTGACGTGCGTACATTGATCTTGCCCGTATGTGATCGGGCATGAAAAGAATACGATCAACGATATAATACCGATAGTCAGAAATACCGTATAGCTAATTCCACACAAATTGACCCATTGATAGGCACCCAGCAGGTGAAGTCTCATCAACAATTTCCTCATAACTTCCATAATGACGATTCACTGAAGATACGTTTCCGATTCCATTCCATTCCAAAATTTTCACCAACGGTTTGCTACAATCAAAGAATTGTCAACAAATTGCATTCAATACTCTTCGCAGTGAAAGTCGTCGTACAATCACAATTTGGAACGTTCACTCGCCACATCCACAATACTCCATCAGATTCATCGTCAAAAAAGCATTTCAAACGAGTGAACGTGTAAGTGATACGTAACGGATTACAAATACGACTCGTTTGAGACCGATCGAATGCCACAGAATTTCTTCAGCACATACGATTTCACTTGTTTCATCAACAATTCAACCGAATATGTTTATTATGGGTACAAGACTATACATAAATACAGCTTAAAACAATATTATTTACAAAAATCACACACAACAGCGATGGCAAACGATGTTTCTGTATGTCCTACAACTACTCGACTGAACTTTATTGCAACCCGAACAAGACACATTCATCGCAAACTTCATCAATGGGCAAACGAAACGCAACTGTTACGACAGTTCTGACTAGTGAAACTATCGTTTTTGCAGTAACAATGCCACTGAAATATGATCATTGCTCGATATCAGTGTGTCAAATGTATTTCTACTTCTCCCCCCATTATCACAAAAAAATCAAAATCAAGCACGCACATCCAAAGAACGAGGTTCACAATATTATGTCTAAGGGTACAGAAAGTGACCCGTTCAATGGCCACTCTAAAAGAATGTGAGCAGCTCACAGTCAAACAGATAAAAAAGAGCACAATATTTCGTATCAAATTTTACGAGAGAAGTTTTAATCGCTATTTTTTTAGATGAAACCGACTAAATAACTACTTTTCCAGAAAATTCGTCAGATACGAATCGAATTGTTTCAAAGCAGTAATCAGCCTCTCTTCCCTCGGGATAAACTCAGAGTAAAACAAGCAAAATGGATGAGATAGGTAAGACTGAAGATTACATAAGCATAGATATGATGTTTTATATTAAACGTAATTGCTAGCTTGACTTATGAAAATAGAACATTAAAATGAAGCACCTTAAAAAAGCACTTCAACATGCATCGAACGATGAGCATCATGGAACTCGCAAACTGCCTAACTAGACTGCAATTTTGAAAAAAGAGCTTCGCATAAATGATGAAATTTTGAGGAGGAAGTCTACTTTGAGATGACCGAGATTCCTCATTAATATGATCTAATGATGGTAAGATGCAGTGATAAATATACGTGGAAAACATAACTCAATTTCCGTTTGACAACAACGGTTAAATAGTCCTTAGATTGGAGGTTTGACAAGAAATAACTTCAAAGAATACAATTTCGTTAATCCGAGAGCACCAAATAAGAAAGATACTTTGAAGAGCCGCAACAGAGAATGTGAATGAATTCCATGCTATCGTTGCACAATATCAGTTACAAAATACTATTATGGATCAGTTGAAAGAAGGCACAAAAATTGAGGAAATTTCAAATGGAGTGTTCAAATGCGTTCAACGTCGATGTAAATACCGTTCGATGATTTCATAAACTTTTGGTGATGTTCGTCGTGCGAGCATTATTGGTGTATCGCCGGCATTCGATACAGCCGACGCATCAATACCTTAACTTGTCATATCATCAAAATCTCGAATTATAATTCAAACAGACTCCATCCTCATTCAAAAACTTTTCACTTGTTTATTAAAGCATTTGTTTCTGATGTGAAGAAAAGTAGGCTCCCACTTGATAAGGTGGATGCTGCAAGACGGAGAAAATAGCCTACTAAATTGGCAAATTTTGCACTATTTTCATGTCATCAAGGTAAGAACTGTCGCAACACCACAATTTTGAGTGACTGATCCAGCACCTTTACATGATCACACAAGAATTCAATCGCAAACAGTAACTGAATGAAGAAGTGAAAGTAGCACCAAATACACTCAAATTAGGCAAACCTGGTGCTTCGAGTAAATATCGTACAGTGTGAAAGATGTTTTCGCTATCACCGTTAGAATTAATCGCCAAATGCAGAGGCGTTAAGTTGCCATTTGTTTTAGAATTAACGTCTACACCATGAGACAACAATATTGCAACAATATTGTAACATGCCCAAAATGCTGCACAATGTATTACTGTCCAACCATTTTCAGTTTTCAATTCGGGATCAGCACCAATCGACAGCAAATATCGAACTGCATCAATATGATTATTGTATGCGGCACGGTGTAACGGGGTGTAATCATCACTATCACGAACCTATAAATGTATTTCCATTAATTTATTGTTTATTTTTCATCCTATCAAAGTGACTGGTCGAATAGAACAAATTCTGTTGTTGGAAATTGTTTTGAGAAACAACGTACAACTGAAATTTTACGAAATGAACAAGGAGATCGTAAACAAGGAAATTTTGCGATATAAAAAACAGGAAAACATGAACTCGAAGTAATACGACAACTTGACATGGACTGTTCAATAACTGCTCCAAACACATTATCGTGTCGTTCGTTTTCATCACGCCAAAGACTTACTAACTTCGAGGAGGGATCGATCACGTTGATAAAGTTCCACGAGCAGTTTAACATCGCCCGTTTCAGCGGCTGTCAGCATTTGCTCAGCTGGGTCATCGAGATTCTTCTCTGCAATCCCTTCATCGTCCTCCTCCCATCCCGAAACAAACATCCCTCGTTTTTTCTCATCGCGAATTCGCTCCAACACTTCCGCCTAAACAGTACCACAGTCACGCGAATACTTTAAATGTACTGATCACAAGTGTTTGGAAACAGTGAAAAGAAACATTTCGAAATCAAAAAGCACACTCACTCACTTCTCTTTTCGACGTTAAGCGGAGATGCATCAACAGAACGAACAACTTACATCCGGTAATGCAGGCAGTGAGTCAATCTCACACTCTTCGCTTTGCTCATCATACGGCATCGATCCGTCACGTTCGTGTTCCATTTCCATATTTTCATCCTCTGATTCTTGCATCATGCCACCGTCGCTAAATTTTTGCCTCGTTTACTCGCATTATTGAACACATTACTTGAAACAATCCGCATATCGCTCAATATTACATCAATGGCACCTCAATTCCACCACGACAAAAAATACTGCAAAAGTTGCTGCAAATAATTAAATTGCAAAATCGTATTTTCCTAGAAACAAAAGATAACATTCCATTAATTCTCTTTGGCGCGTTTCTGCATTCTCGATTAGGACTTGTTGCAAAATGATCAGACAGTCAGAGCAAACGACATATTTGAAAAGAGTAGAACGGGTGCGATGAAACACGCGAGGGAGCGACTTACCACTTCAAGTAATGAGCAGAGATGGGCAATAGTGCGCTATTCCACTACTTCGATGCTAGCCAAAATATCTATTCCGCTATTTCGCTAGTATTTGTAAGTAGTGAGTACTTATGAATACTTTTAAAGTATTCATAAGTACTCACTAATTCGCTATAGCGAAGCGGAATAGCGCGCTATTGCCCATTAAAGCAAACTTTACTAGAGTCTTACCCATTCGTCGTTACCTCGGCATGTTTTGAGGTAATATTTTACTTCATATTGATATTCACTGTTGATTATGTAAAAGAAGTGCACGCAGGTTAGTTCTCGGCTCTTCAGCGTTCCCGTAAGAAAATGTTAGAGGAAGTTTGCAGCAAAAGCCTGTAAGCAATAAGGTAAATATGGTAAGCAATAAGGCAACTGCGGTTTGTTGCAATCGACCACGGTGACAACAACAAGCAAATATATTTCGGAAGATATGATAAGAGTCTGTATTGCAGGCTGTTGAATTGTGAATGGAACAGGGTCAGCCATTGGTGAAGGATTCATAATGAGAACGAATGCAAAGATCCGTATTTCGACAAGTTTATGTTCATTTTTCGTTGCATAAATTTTCAATACACCATTCTAGCATTTTTAATTGTTGCCATAAATTCATTGTCGATAAACAAAACACTCGTCAAATCGACACGTTTGCTGTGTTATTCTTAATCGTTATCAATCACTGAATGCATTGGATGGATTAGTAAGTAAACACAGAGAAACACTACTCGCATCCAATTTTTCCTCAAACCATTTTTATGATCGGATCATTTTTCTGCCTCAAATTTTCGAAAATTTTTAGATGTGAGTAGTTATGCAAAGAGAGTGAACAATTCCAATTTTAGCTGA